CTTTGGAATCTTCTCTTTAGCTATTGTACTTAATCATTTTCTCCTTTTTCTTTAGTTTCTCTTGGTATGCCGCTAATTCAGAGGCATACAGTTCAAATCCACCAGCTGCTTCATGGGAGAGAGACAGGCAACCTCCTCCCATGCAATTTAAGGCCTCTGAAAACTCACTAGCAGGTCAGTTATGAGTAGGTTCCAACTGAACGAACGGCACATAACTAACTACAGGTTCAAGAGCTAGTGTCAAGGTTTCTTCCAATACGCATTTTAGGTCTTGCTAATTGTTTTAACTTTTTCCATATGATGCTCTTGTCATCTCACAGCTCATCCAGTCTTCAGCTGTTAAATGCATCAAGTCTAGTCTTGAGGTTGTTTTCAAATTCAAGTAAGATAAATTTGGGCTTGTTTTCATTTTCTTCAACTTCAGTTTGAATTTGCATATGAGGAACTGATGGTCTGTTCCACAGTCAGCCCCTGGCCTTATTTTAACGCCTGAATTTTTCCGTTTTTTTTCCACAGTCAATTTGATTCCTATGTAGTCTAACACGTGATGCCCATGTGGGAAGTCAGCATTTATGCTTTTTAAGAAAAGTATCTGTAATGAATAAATTGTGCCAAATCCTATTGTGAGCTCTCTGGCCTCATTTCTGCCCCCAAGGCTGTAGGTTCCTACTATCAATCCTTATTTCCAACTTGTGTGACCCAGTCACCAATTATTATTAATGCATCTGGAGTGCATGCGGTCAGTTTCAGACCACGGAAGTCATCAGAAATTCTGTCTTCATCTTTGGCTTCAGTGGCTGGTGTGTCTCTTTGAGTAACAGTTGTAGGAACAGGTCTTCCTAGTATACAGACACATGGATGTTAACGTTTCACTGACATCACTACATTTCAGAACGTGTCCTCAAATGTTCTTTTTGGTGCCAACAGGGCAGATCATATGACTATCTTAAAACGGCCAACACTCACTAATGCCTAGGCTATCTATCAATCTTTATGATTTCTGTTTCATTTTCACTAACTTCTGATATACTAAGATTCAAACTTCATGAATTCAGTTTTCCAATTATGAGTAGATTTTTGCAGCTCTTTCTCTCTTCATTTTAAGTCATGTGATCAGCAAATGAAGGTCCTTCACAGGAAGGAAGAGGAACAGTTGTAAGCAGACACTGGTGATTGGAACATGGAATGTGAGAACCATGAATGTAGGAAAATTAGATATTGTTAAGGGAGAAATGGAACGCATAAATATTGACATACTAGGCATTGGTGAGATGAGATGGACTGGCATGGGGTATTTTGAGTCAG